GGGTTCTCCGTCGGCGACACCTCCCTGCCGAGCATGGAGCCGATGAGCAGCGACGCCACCTGCGGGATGGCGAGGCTGGCGATGGTGATGCCGGCGATGAGGTCGGACTTAAAGGTGCCCAACCTGTAGGCCGGCGCCCACTCGAGGAACGGGAAGAAGTAGCGCAGCGCGGCGACTGTCCGTCGCCCAGCCCCGCGCTCCCGCACCACCCCGCGGAACGGGTCGTCCGGGAAGGTCTCCTTGGGGTTCCCCCGGAACGTGTCCAGGAACGGCCGCGCCGGCGGCACCGGCACCCGCGCCGCCCCGGCCCCGCCGTTCGTCTCCGCGCTGCCGCCCATGGAGGTGGAGGTGGAGGTGAGGTGGTGTTTGTGCAAGCAGAAAGCTATATATTGAGCAAGCAAGCAGATGGAGCTTTCGTTGCTGCGAGAGGAAGCAGCAGCAGGTAGCTCTTCTTCTTCGCGCTCGCGCAGTCGCGCTCTAGCTCAACTCAGCTGCTAGCTAGCGGTCCCTCAGGTGTCTGTCAGCAAGAGAGAAATCGCGTGGGGGGACGGATACGCGCGATAGGTGCAGCGCGTAAAGTCAGGCGGAAGGGAAAGAAATTTCTAAAGTCCTTAAAGAAAGTCATTAGAGAGAGGTTTTTCTCTATTTTTCTAAAATATAAGAATTAGGAGAATGTCTAGAGAACTCTCGGAGATGCTCTCAGTCCTCACACATGTTTAGCAGCAGGAGTCTTAAAATAGCTCTCGGCCAAACGACCCCTTCCTCACGGGGACAAATAACTTTTTACCATTATAACGGAAGGCCACTCTCCAGTTCTCACATTGACGAATTCTCATATTCTTTCACCAGCGTTGTTCGCTCCGAGATACACTTTTACCACTTTTGCACTCGTGGTGCTCCAGCATTGTTTGCCACGTCGGCCCCGAGCGCGCGAAGGGTGCAAAATGACCTCGCCTGCCCCTGCCCCTCTCGTCTTAGCTATCCGGGCCGGTCTCAGTTGACCCAGCCGGCCCATTTGCCCTGTCCCCTTCATCTCCCCCGCGCTGACAATGAATGGAGCATAGGTAGCAAATGCACAGATCACAAACTCATCAAGTGATAGAAACAAACCTAACAGTTAAGCATTGCATTACATGGCAGGTTTTGTTCTGGCCACTTCACAATAGTTCCCCATCCATACACAAGGATGTACTGTGGCCACATCCATGACAGGTTTTACATAATAGTTTGCAAAAGAAAAGACCATACAAGCTTGTTTCCCAAAATAAACAGGTTCAGGACAGCATGGGCCAAAATAAGAGACATTTTCAATTCAAGCTTTGTCTCATTTCTTCTTCCCCTTAGTTCCTGCAGTCTTCTTTGCTGGAGACTTCTTTACTAGAGTGTTTTTAGTTGGAGTCTTCTTGATCTTGGTAGCTAGTTGCTTCCTCCTAGGTGTCATCTTTCTTTTGCCGGTTGCTTCATCTCCTAGCGGGTTCACAACGTTCACAACTACCAATTCCAGACAATTGTTCCTGTGTGCATATAAACCATTTAGTGTTGCTTCTTCAATATTTTGCAAAATGTACAGTGAAGAATGAAATTGTACCTTGTAGGTGTGTGGGGGCTTCCAGGTGCTTGGTATACAGTCTCTAGGGGTGTAGGTGTGTTGGGGCTTCTAGGTGCTTGGTATACAATCTCCAGGGGTGCTTCTTTGGCTGCTGCTGCTGCCTTATCTGCAGCTAGCTGAGCTGCTTTGGCTGCTCTGTCAGCTGCTTCTCTGGCTGCTGCCAGTCTTGTCCTTGGTGAACACTGAACACTTGAGCCCTCATCTGCTTGGTCCTTCTTTGTCTTCTTTGGCCTTTCAGGTTTTGCTGCTGTCTTCTTTGTCCTCTTTCTGGCATGAAACAAAACAGATCAGGGTACACTATATAAGTATTGGTGAGAATGGTAAACAAAATAAGTTTAGAATTAACCTTTTCCTTGTTCCTGTCAGTGAGCATCTCCAGCTGCCACTCCTGTGTCTATACTCTCCACAATCTTTGCATTTTGCCTGCCTAGTTCTTCTACCAGTGTTTCAAATGGTCCAGGGTACCTTTTCTTCCTCTCCCTACCTAGCTTCTTTTTTTCCTTGATTATTGGTGCATGACATTTGAAACCCTTGTCAACTTCTGGCCATCGGTTTCTATCAGTGATGTGAGGGATAACACCATGGTATGCTGCTTGGAATTTCTCAACAGAATAGTACTGGTCAACAAACAAGCCCATTTGTGGCTGTCTTTGGCTGGTGATGACAGCTAGGGCATGTGGGCATGGCTTCCCAGTGAGCTGCCACTCCCTGCAAGTACAGGCATGCTATTCTAGATAAACAACATGCCTCCTAACCACTTGGTCCTTGTATATTTCTGTAACTTCTGCTTCCTGTGGATGACCCTTCTTTACTTTGAGGTGCCCTAGACCCCTGGAGACTGTATTCAATTGGTGTATGACAGCAGGTAAGATGCCAGGATTCAAAGCAACTGAGATCCTTCTCCTCTTAGCAAACAAAGCCAGTGTCTTCTCCCTAATAGCATCAGCCAAGCAATGTACAGGGAGATCCTTGCATTCTCTGATCCAGGCATTCTAAGACTCAGCCAAATTGTTGTTGATATAATCACATTTAACCTCTGTACTAAACTTACTCCTAGCCCAAAGTAGGTTATGGTAGTCATTCAGCCACTTGACAATACCTGGGCTAGCATCAACAACCTTGTCAAAATAGAACTTGAATTTGTGTGGAGTGTAAGCCCTCGCTGCTGGCCACATATTCTTGGCATACACCTCTCCAGTATAATACTTATTTAAATTCTCCATCAAATACCTAAAACACTCCCTCTTCTCACAATCAGGCCAGACCTGAGCCACTGCTGCCTCAAGACCCTTACAAGCATCAATACACACTGCTAAATTTTCCATAGGGCCAATTGCTTTGCTAAGCTGCTGCATAAACCAGATCCAGCTGTCTTTGATTTCTGACCTAAAAAATCCAAAGGCCAATGGAAACATCCAGTTGTGGCCATCCAATGCTTGAGCAGAGGGCAGCTGGCCATTCCAGAGCCCATTTAAGTGGGTTGAATCTATACTAATGTAAGGCCTACACCCATTTCTAAAACCATCTATGGCAGCCTTGAAACAGTAGAAAAATCTAGTAAAATGAACCTTGCCATCAATTTCCTCACTATCAACCTCAACAATACTACCAGGTGATCTCAATTCCACCTCTGCCTTAAACCTATACAACCAATCAAAGGAATCAGCAAGCTTCCAAAAAGCTTGTCAGTTGCTCTCTTTCTTTCATACACAACAGTCTGGTAGTTGATATCAATGTTGTACTTTTCATCTAGCTCTGCCTTCAGTGCCTTTGGGCCCATGGCTGGCATCCTCATCAAATATGGTAATGCCATTTCTGCCATCAAACCTTGTGATGCCATAGCACCCCCAGGCACCTTGTTCCTAGAGGCACATGTATGCACACCTTCATTTATTTGCACCTGCAAAGAAGCAAACCATTTGAGTATTTGAGTCAGCATTACCTGAAAAGCCATACAAAAATTGCAAAAATATTGTATGAGCAATGAAATGCAAAGTACCCTGACACTCCCACCATGCTGGGTTCTAGCTCTAATGATCCAAGGACATCCTAGAGAAGCACAATGTCCCCTAAACCTTTCAGTATCTGAATGAGCAGTAGCAAGTTCAAAATCTTTGACTATTGCATGTTGTCTTACAGCTAGCCTAAAATCATTCATGGATGGAAAATAAACCCCAACAGACAAATCTGGATTTTGTTTGTCCTAGTCAAACATTGGCTCTTGATCATCATGGTCATCAACTGGAACTGCTGCCTCTTCCATATCAGCCTGCATCTCAGCTGTCACGGTAGGAATAGGAATAGCTTCCCTAGCTGCATCCTCAGCTCTCTCATCTGCTGCTGCAAAACCCATAGCCTCATAAACTTTATCCTCATCAGCAGCTTGCTTGGCGTCTCCATCCTCATTATCTTCTTGTAAAATGGTCAACTCAGCCCAATCTACTGGTTGTGCTTGTTCAGGTGGCATAGAAGGAGGAGGACTGCTACAAGTGTCACCAGTGCCTTCAACATTACCATGTACAGCACTACCTTGTGTATTATCAGGAGCAGCACTGCCTTGATCATTACCAGTAGCACCATTACCAGCAGCATTACTAGGACCACCACTGCCAGCAGAAGTTACACAAGAGACAAACCTAAAATCAGAGCAAGCATTGACAGATTGATCATCTTTATTGACAACATCCACTACAAGCACAGCTTCCTTTTCATTCCATCTAGCTAGTATAACCTGCTGAAAATGTTCATCCCTCCTTATTTTCCATTGAGATGGGCTGTCAAGCTCAACCACCCAAACTGCCAATGTCTGTGAAGGTCCCCAGATTATCTTCCCACCCATTTCGTCATGAAACTTAGCTAGAGAATAATGCTGAGTCCTATCAAACCAGATTTGGTGTTCCTGCTCAGCCATTGCCACTAGCCCGTACTCATCCTCAGCAATCCACTTAGAAACATTTACAACTAATCTAAACGCATTACCAGGATCAATCCTGGCACAAACACAGATGCAATGTTAGGGACAACCTACTACACAGCATCCGCAGTCCCGTCCCATGAAAGTGAAGAGAAAACGACTAGGAAAATTAGGGTTCTTACCAAACAGGGCAACCACTAGTCGAATGCCAGTCCATTGCGTCTGCCTTCAACACCGACTACATGTACTGTCCAAGAAAGAAAAGCAAGTCCATCATCATTCTCAAAAACCCTAACCCTAACCCTAACCTGGAATCATAAATGTGCAAACCCAAAACAGGGAATGAGAGTGTTGGTCCGGACGGGACATACCTTTTTTCCCCCCTTTTCTCAGCTGACGGCTTCAGCGGGATGGAATATGGAATGCGGCGGCGGAGGGCGGCGACGGCGAGGTCCAGAGCAGAGCGCGGCGGGGGAGATGAAGGGGACAGGGCAAATGGGCCGGCTGGGTCAACTGAGACCGGCCCGGATAGCTAAGACGAGGGGGGCAGGGGTAGGCGAGGTCATTTTGCACCCTTCGTGCGCTCGGGGCCGACGTGGCAAGCTGTGCTGGAGCGCCACGAGTGCAAAAATGATAAAAGTGTATCTCGGAGCGAACAACGCTGGTGAAAGAATATGGGAATTCGTCAAGGTGAGAACTGGAGAGTGGACGTCCGTTATAATGGTAGAAAGTTATGTGTCCCTTCCTCACGCTTCACTCTCCACAATCCTTCTCGCTCTCCCTCTGCCGAGTCGCCCAAAAGTGGCCTCGGCCTGCCTCAGCCTCTCACACAGCTCGGTCCAGCCCAACGGAGTCCAAACGTCCAAGTGGGCGCGAACCAGTCTAAACCCTAAACCCCCTCCCCTTCGCCTCCCCTACCGTCCGCGCCGAACACCCGCCGTAACCGCCGAAACTGACAAAGCCTCTCTCTCCACCTCGCTTCCCCATCTACCAGGAGTTCCTCTCTTCTTTAGCTGGTGACTTGGTGAGCAAGCCGTTTTTTTTGTTTTTGTTTTTCCCCCTTCTCTTCTCGTTCAGCGATTCTGTGAGCCTTCAAATTCAATCTGTTCTCTGTCGGATTGACGCTTCATTTCGTGTCGGGTTTATTTTCAGATTTGCCGAGTATCAGTCCAGGTTCCGATTTGGTGGCTGAAGCTCTGTTTCTCCATGGCGCTTCGTTTCGAGGTGAGTCGATGCTTCTGTCTGTGTGTTTTGTTCTGAGTGTGTGTTCGATTCGCTTAGATAGATGAGAAGATAACCTTTGCCGTTCCATTGTTGCGGCTTCCCCCCAAGCTGCTTGGTCGAAGTTCGTCGGAGCTTTACGTTGCTAATAAAGCGGATATGCTTTGTTGATAGGCCGTTGGGTGGAATATCTGATTCTAATAGGAGTGGGTACTTATTTCTTATTCGTACTAGCTTCTGCTACTACAGATTCGCAATTATAAGCTAATAATGCTTTGTGATAGAAGGTTGCATGATCCTTGACTTGTCCAAATTGTTGGAGTTGACCAATACCGTCCTAGGCTAGACACGTGTTATTCAGACATCTTCTCTGGCTTTTCTTTTCAGAGAACCAGAATTGTTTTTTTCCCCTCTTTATATAGTTGATTGATGCACATACTACTGCACAATGGGAATAATTTATAGTTAGAATCTTTCAGTATTCTTACACTTCAGTACTTTATTATCTCACTGAGGTGAAGTCATAGTGGTCTATGTAAAAGGAAAAGGGTAACAGTAAAAAGTTAGAGAAGTGTGCCACATGTAAATGCCAATGGCTCATGCTTTCAGAGTGGCATGGTACAGATGAGCTGGCGTCACTGCCCGTCCCCAACAATCTAGCTCTAAGCTAGCTGACGTTGGATTCTTGCCTATGTGGAGGGGAGAGAAAACAGCTAAAGCAAAGGAGCTAGCGAGGGAAGAAGAGATAGCTTGGCTCAGAGCACAATGCTGTTTATGGGACCCACCATCTCTTGTCTCTTGTCTAGCTCACTATCTTCGGTGGATAAAATTCTGTGGGATGTTTGATTGAACCTGGTTGAACTAAGCCCTTCCAATTGAGAATACAATGTTAAAGTATTTCTGTTTGCTTTGCAGATATTAGGAAGATTCAATCGCGCCCGTGCAGCTTGCTTAACTCTTCCCCACTTTACTTGTCAAACACCACTTTTTATGCCTGTTGGAACTCAAGGTTTGTTCCCTTTTTTTTTTCATATGCAAGTTTGGTCTTCCATTTTTACTTGTACTATATGCATTATGCATATTTGTGCTATGAGATCTGAAATAAATAGTTTTGGTTTATGTACTTTTTACTACTAATTTCAACTTGAAGTTAGTCATCACATTTTGCATGCATGTCCCATGCTGTTCAACATTGTAGTATCCCTGTCTTTATTGACTCTTATGTATTCCTTTACTTGAAAGAATAAAAGGCTTTGACCATGATTTAGTATTCCCAGTTAATGAAGATTTTCTGTACTTCATTCTTTTTCCTGGAGCAGTTTGCAGCCTTTTCTCGCTCTTCTTTTCTAGTCTATGAACTATCATCCAAAGTATTTTCCTTCTCATTCAGATAGTTTACTATGCTTAAGAGATTTTGGCTGTGCAGTCTGTTCTTCAACTTTGTACAATTGTGTAAACATTTCAGGTATCTCAATGTTTTTTTTTCCTCTTTTCATTTAGGTACAATAAAAGGGCTGACCACTGACCAGTTAGAGGATATAGGTTGCCAGATCATACTTGGAAACACCTACCATCTTGAACTACGTCCAGGGTCTCAACTTATTGATGACTTGGGTGGCCTGCACAAATTTATGAATTGGAAAAGGGCATTGCTGACTGACTCTGGTGGTTTCCAAATGGTTGCTCCAAATCTTTGCTTTCTTAACACAATTATTGTTGTGATAGACCAATTGAGCATCAGCATTCATCTTGCATATATAATATGATTATCTTTTTTCTAAAGGTATTTTGTCCTTCTGAACTGTAGTTCTGCTGTTGTATTTCTGACTTGTTTGGAGATTTTCTTTTAGGTTTCGTTGCTGCATTTGGCTGATATTACTGAGGAAGGAGTTACATTCCAGGTACATTCTTGTGGCCACTTGTGATGTGATGCTTTTGTTCTTTATTAAAGTCACATTAAATTGTGTTTCTTAGTTCTCTAGTACGATCTGTGTTGACAAAATTCCATATTTGTAACCAAATATTCTATGGTAAAATATCTGTCTGGTTTTGGAAGTTGGGGGTGGGCGATGTCTTGTTTTGGAGTTCCAGAGGGGGGGGGGCGCAAAATGAACTTCACTCTAGAATATTAATAAATAATCTTTGCATGTTGGATCGTTGGTAATATGCATAGTTAGTTGATGCATGTCAATATATAGAATTTGGTTTCTATGCCATGTTTTGTGGTTTTTGTGAGACATAATCTGCTGCTGATCTCTCTTTGTTTTTGCTGCACAGCAGAGTTGGCATTCAGTCAAGTCTCTGCTGTCCTAATTGCTGTAGCAGTAAGGCAATAGGCCATATCTAGTACTAGTTCGTACATTAGTTGGTATTGGCATACCTCAGCAATACCAAGTAGTGGGCTGAAATCGGCCATGTCCTAGACATAGGAGTAGTTGTACTTGTACTTTGTACCTTGTATGGTACTTGTAGCTTGTATATGTACTACCACAAGGCAATGGAAACATTCAGTTCAGCTGAAGCAACATTCAGAGCAGCAAAGCTGCTGCTCGGCTGTGTGTGTGTGCTGTGCTCACCCTTTCTTCTAACTATAGCCAAAGTGAGTGTGTGGGTGTGCTGGTAAGCTAGTTGCTTACCTGTGCAGGGAGCCCAAGGACCAACAGTTTTGCCTTATTTATGGAAGGGATTTGTTCATGCATTTACTTATTTGATCCTTCCTCTAGATAAATTTTAATGCTGAAGTTAACTCTTTTTTTTTCTCTTTGTACCTCTCTAATTTTATTGCTCTTTCATGCCCAATCTGTAGTCACCTGTTGACGGGAAGCCCATGCTCTTGACACCTGAGGAATCTATCCATATTCAGGTGCGACCTTTTCTAGGCAGCATTCAACTTATAGAATTAGGTTTTTTATAAAAAGGGCGTACCCAGTGCAGAGAGCTCCCGCTCTGTGCGGGGTCTGGGGATGGGTGTCAGTGGCAAGCCTTACCCTCGCCTGTGCAATGCGAGGAGACTACGACTCGAAGCCGGGACCTTCCGGTCACAGGCGGTAAGACTCTACCGCTTGCACCAGGCCCGCCCTTCAGAATTAGGTTTTTTTATCACAAAATTTTATTTGTATATCTTGCCATTTCCACACCTTCATAATTATTGAAAATGAATGCAGAACAATATTGGAGCTGATATAATCATGGCACTTGATGATGTTGTAAAGACCACAATTACTGGCCCAAGGATAGAAGAAGCTATGTATCGTACCCTTCGTTGGATTGACAGGTGCATAGCTGGTAAGATCATTAATCTGGCTAACCAAACAATTGAGTTATCCAGCATGAAGTGAGGGTCAAGTAGAACTTGAATCATTTCACTTATTGCCTTAATATGAGATAAATTTAATTATGTTACCAAAAGAACATTTGAAAAACAGATAGTAATGTATTATCCAGTGCTATGCATGGTTTATTAAAGTGCGTGTGTGTTCCGTTCAATGTCCAAATGTAGCTCACAAGAAACCTGATGTCCAGAACTTATTTGGGATTGTGCAAGGAGGATTGGATCCAGTTCTTAGGTGAGTTCATCTAGCTTATTATATGTATTACATTTATCCTTTTTTTTCAGGTCATCAATTAGATTTAGAACTTACCGAGCAATACCTTTTCCCTAATTCCAGAGATATCTGCGTGAGGGGCTTGGTTGAGCGGAATCTTCCTGGGTATGTCATGAACTAAATTTTCACAGCTGAGTTTAACGAACACAATTCATTCCCATGACATTTGCACCTAGTAACATCTTTTCTTAGAATTATACTGCACTCACTAATTTTTGATTTTTGGCGTCCCTATTATTGGCAGTACCTATGGCATACTTTCCGCGTCCTTGTTTTAGATGTATTATTTGTTTTATTTGCATCTATTATAATGGCTCACCTTTTTTTTATCTTTTTGTTGCTAGATATGCAATTGGTGGTCTTGCTGGTGGCGAAGACAAGGATTCATTTTGGCGTGTTGTTGCCCAATGTACCGCTGGATTGCCTGAAAATAAACCACGATATGTTATGGTATAATCAAGTTTGAATTGCTTAATTCATTTTCTGGTTGCATAAAAGATCATATTCCTTGGTGTAGGTATCTCTCTTTGCAAATAGAGATACCAAGGCCCACAACTTAACGAGTTGGTAGGGGAAACAATCATGTTAATTCAATTATTTGGTTAACTTCACTGTTATGGTAATATGCAGGGTGTTGGTTATCCACTTGATATTGTAGTATGCAGTGCTTTGGGTGCAGACATGTATGACTGTGTTTATCCAACACGGACTGCTCGTTTTGGGACTGCACTTGTGCCTGAGGTATAGCCCATTTGACAAATATATTTGATTCGACATTGATTGTGTGCGCCTGTTCGGTCATATCACATAGGAACAATTTTTTTTATTTTGTCATTGATATCCTTTTCTGTTCTGTGTCAGCTTTAAACTATGGTCTCATTCTGAGCATCTACTATTTGCATTTTCCTCCTGAACTTCAGTACATTGTCAACTTTTCATATATCTTTTATCGTCAGGGTGTCCTGAAGTTGAAACATAATGCAATGGCAACTGATGAACGGCCAATTGATCCTACCTGTTCATGCATGGTAAGGCTTCAACTTCTCCGGGAACAAAGTGGTCAACTAATCTGACAATCTTCTTTGTTGGTGTTCCACGACATTGGTCATCTTGCCAGGTCTGCAAAAAATATACGCGTGCCTACTTACATTGCCTGGTAACAAAAGATGCTATGGGCTCTCAACTGCTGTCATATCATAATTTATCATTTATGATGCGGGTATGCTAATTCTTGTTTTTGCTATGTTATTCCATTTTTTAACTTTTTTGTCTTACAAGCTGTGTCCCTGATTGTTTACCTATCAATTCCAGTTAAGTAGAGACCTCCACATGTCTATTCTTGAAGGACGATTTCCAGAGTATGTTCTTATCAAACCCAAATTTGTCTGAACTACTTCTGAAAATTTGCATGGGGAAATAACGTGATTTTTGTGCCATCCTGTAGATTCGTGCGAGGATTCTTGAGGGTGCAGGTTTGTGCTGCTTTTCTTATCGTGTCATACACATTCTTTCAGTCTCTTCTCAGAAACAGACATGAATTATGCGTGCAGTTTAATGTTTGAATTGAAAAAATAGCCCAGATTACTAGCTGAAACTATAGAAACTTGACTGTCTTATTATGATATTTCATATGTGACGTGATGTCTTACTGCTTGAACCTCGAACGATGCTATGCAGTTCCCAAAGGGGGACGTTCCACAGTGGGTTCGTAACGCGATGGAGGTCGCTGGCATTGACATATCCGAGTGCTGTGCTTCCACCAAATGTCTGACACCAAGCGTCCAGGGGCCACCTTTAACTGTGCCGGCTGACGCAAATGGAGTTGTGCCGAATTAAGGCGCTTCGGCTAGACAAAAGACGGCGACAGGCTTTCACAAAGAAGGTTTTTTTTTCTCTCTGTCATACACATGTAGGGTCTCACTCACCGATTCAGCATATGATTTTCCAATAGTATGCTGAAGCTTACCGACAGGTTTTGTTAGTGTTTTGGTCGTGTTGTGTGTGTTTAGAAACAGCAGAGGTATGCGCTTGATGCTTCTGGGGTCTTAGGTTATGCGTCGCCTAATGACTGGATGGACTTACCCGTCACTGTATCCCTTTGCACGCAGCTGCTGTCAAAGGATTTTTAGTGGTAGGGTCAGATCAAAGGAAGGTGTACCCAACTCTGAAAAATTGTTGTAACGGAAGTAATGTTAGTCCATGCAAACGTTTGATCTGTGCGTTGAAGTATGCGGCAATGAAAATTTATTACCGGCAACACTGTCCAGCACGAGCGTGACTACGCGCTCACTGGGAGCAGGGCAGGCACGCAGTGCCAGTGCATGCCGCTAAGTCCTGGCCGTGTAACGAGACCCGGGTACTTTGCCTGGCCGTGACCTGAACCTGACTGGGTCTGCAGCAGGCAGCAGCTGGTCCGGTTCAGTCCAGGCCAGGCCCGGCGTGCTCTGCTGCCTATGTCGAGCGAAAGCAATGCGACCCAGCCCCTTGGTGCCGGTTGCGGTGGACGAGCGCACAAGCACTAGCGAACTGACCAGACCAGCCGTAGCTAGTACTACTAGGTTGCAGGTAAAAAGGTCATCCACACGTGTGCCGGTGGTCCTCGTGAATTTTCCCTCATCGGAGAAAAGTGGTGGTCCGGTACGCTGGTTCTTGTGAATCTAGGTGCCCATGCAGCGTTCCAAGAACCCATACCTGCCCAAGGAATCAGTGGCGAATGGAGGAGGACCATCCGTCAGATCGGGCGGAGAAGACGTGTTTGGACACGAGCCACGCACCTAGCTTGGCTAGTGTTGGCCTAAAAAAATGATCACACGCCATAGCGCTAGAATACGTTGATAGTGTTGTGAAACGGCACCTATTTATTTACATTCACACCTCAACACGTTATCAGTCACGTTGCTCTCAAGAACGAGAAGTAGGAGAACGACAGCAGATGCAATGCACGCCTCTGTACCATCACCGGTAAGATCATGGCGCGAACCAACTTACCTTCGCACATCGTTCTTGGTTTGTTCTTCGCTCTTCGCGGCATCGGTGGAGGTCACTGTGGCCCGATCCGCCACCACCGCCACCATGGACCGTGTGATATGGATGCATCGTGCATATCCATGTCTACACTTCATTGTAGGTCTCAGAATGCCGTCACATACATACGCTGCAGGCAGAGCAAGGGCAAACTTTTCAGACTACTACTATAAGACACGTCTTTCACATCCTCTGCATGCGTACAACTGGCAGTATCGCAGTGCCAATTGCCAAAAGGACCTATCGTTGCTACGTACTCCGTACCCAGCAGCCAGGAACTACTCAAACTTGATTCTGCCCGATCAGATGTCAGCAAGCATCTCGTGCCATGCTTACCTTCAAAGTAATTGCATTGCATCGCATCAAATCCATCATCTTCCCAACTAAATCTTGCTTACATACGTTCCATTCAAAGTAGCCACGCATGCATAGAGACGAGAGACGAGTTTCCCAACTAGCTAGAGGGGAAATAGGCATATATTCTGCAAAAATTCGCTTCTTCTATTGTTAAATGAAATGAATCCATAGGTAAGTTGCATTGGTCAGCACTCAGCGCATCCAGATTCCAGAGAGCAAAGCAAGCTGCAGCAGGCATGTACGTCTAGATTCAATGAACTGGAAGCTGATTCTACAAGAGAATTGATTATGTGGCTAAAAGTGATTCTCTTTGATTTTTTAGCACAAACTTTTGAAATCATGATGGAGAATCATTTCACAGAATCAGGAAAAGCAAAATTTTCAGCTCTTAGCCTCTTAGTTCATTTCATAGAATCACTTTACGGAATCAGCAGAGAATCACTTCTCTCTGAAAAACTGTTTGGCTGAGCTCCTGTTGGAACAGAGATTGCCAAACGGAGCCTTTGTAGACAACTTTGTTGACACTTAGGCCTCGTTTGGCACGGCTCCCGTCGGCTCCGGTTCTGCTACTGTAGCGCTACTGTAGCGCGGAGCCGGAGGAGCCGAAATCATGGCTTCTCCGGCTCCTCCTCTTCTCAGTTCATTTTCGGCCTTGGATTCCGAAACGGCTCCTGCTACAGTGCGCGAGGAGGAGGAGCCGGAGCACCCAGGAGCTGCGCCAAAGAGGGCCTTGATACTCTATTGCTAGTAGCCTAGTAGTAGTAGCCATGTGTTCTTGCCATGACGATAAGTAGTCTTGGCATCAACAGCAACAGGTTACGTCATTATCGAAGTCATATTCTGCATGACATTCCCTGCTTAGACGGAAACAGCCACTAATGTCCTCATGTTTCTTCAATTCGTCAAGGAAGGATCGCACAAACTAGCAGCTTGTGTAAAGAATTTTGCGGACAACTAATGTAGCATCTGCCTAAACGCTAATATGACTCTACCCGGTGAATGTTCAACCGAGCTCAACATTTGTTGAATCCGGACAGGACTTTTCTGGAACCTAGCTCATCATCTTTAGAAAATTGACCAAGATCTGTAAAACCTAATTAATTTCTTAAAAACTTAAGACGATTTGCGTTCATAGATGTGAGTGTACATGCATTGTGAGCATCTATATTGTACCGTATAATTCTCGAAAAAATTATGAATTAGTAGCTGTCCCATCACATATGACTTTATGAGCTATGGTAGTATCACTACTAGAAAAAGGAAGTTTAGGAGACGGTATGGGGCTGTAAATGGTCAGGCGGCCTCCAAAAACACCTATTTTTGTTAATCATTTATAGAGATGGACATTCTAAGACGTCCGCCTATGCTAATACGATCGTCTTTATAAATCGATTAACAGATACCGACATCCTAAGGGGAGACGAAAATCTTAATAGACCCACCTATAGAAATAGTTATATCAAAAAATAACTCATAACTTTTTCATATAGTCGTATGAAGACGAAAATTATTTCAAAATTGTAGCTCTCATTGTGATCTATAATTTGTAATTGAGAAGATTTTGAATTGAAACGGTTTAAAGTCCCAAAATATTATTTTAAATTCATAGTTTTTGAAATTTAAAAATTAAAATTTTCAAACAACCATAGATGTTGACATGATCTATCTATACGATCGTTGTAGTTATTATCAATACAATCTACTACTTTATAGTTCAAAGGTTTTTTATTCGAAGTTGTTTAGATGTTCAAATATGTGTTTTATGTTCTTAGATTTTGAAATTGAAAATTTAGAATTACTAAATGATCTTGAATGTTCACATGATTAATAATAAATTTGTAGTGGCCGACTCGATCTACAAGTTTATTGATGATAAATTTTTTTTATTTGAAGTTGTTTAGAGTGTCAAATATTTATTTTAAATTTACATATTTTGAGATTTAAATTTAGAAATTTCAAACGATCTCAAATGGAGACACATCCTATATTAATTTTTTGGTGCTTTTACAAGATTAAAAACTTTGTAGTTAAAACTTTTCATTTAAATTTATTTAGTACCTAAAATATTCAATACAAGATTACAAAACATTGATAAAAAAAAGATAGCATCTATATATACTCATAGGTTGTGATCGGGTGTGCTTTTGAATAACGGCTACCGCTAAATAGCTTAGCCCTATATATTTAAAACCATGTGCTGCACTGTTCATCAGTCAACACCAGATAATATAAGCGATGAATTCTCGATTGCCAAAAAAGGACGGTCACAGGTGTTGAAAACGTCCAACTAGCGCCTGCTAAACCGGTCTCCACTAACCACGCTATATTTGGAATTGTTTTACGCGGCTGTGCCAGGAAATCATTGAACAAAGAAATGAGAAGCAGCCACTAAGAGAGTTGAATTAATGAAGCATGACCTTGACATTTCCTTCGACCAAACACTATTGGATCGCAAAATGGTTGTCATGCCAGTACATAGTCGTGTTAAGGGCCGTACAGGCCGGCAGCTTCGACCATAGTCACCTTTTGAACGGCTTTTCCCCCCTCTAAAGCAGACGTTATTTTAGTATAAAGGCCATGTTCGCTTCTCTTATAATTCGTTTTTTTCAGCTTGTTTTTTTAGTCGGAACAGTGTTTTTCTCTCATAACAAATCAGTCAGAATAGTGTTTCGACTTGTTTTTTCAGCGAAGCGAACGGGACCAAAGAGACTATAATGTTTCTGTCTCCTATGCGATCTCATGTACTCTCTCCATAAAAAAAGTAATGTTCGCTTTTTAGAAGTCAAATAATTTAAACTTTAACTAAATTTATATAGAAATACTAACATTTATGATACAAAATAAGTGTCATTAGTTTAGTTATATAATATATTTTCATAATATATTTATTTGGAGACATAAATATTAAGGAGCCGTTTGGATCCTTTCATTTGGAGGAATTGAAATCTACTTAATAAATTATGCTATTTTGTTTAGAATTTAACATTCAACAACTTTTCAAAGTTCACGTATAAACCTATCTCAAATTCATAGGGTGAGAGATGAAAGTTGATTCTATTGATCACCATTCTATGTTTCTACTTTGTAACTTATAATAACACGCTCTTCAACTTACTCCCCTACTATAAAAATGCCACGTATAAGTATCTTTCTCATATAGCGAACAATAATATACAAATATAATCCATATACAACCATATTAGCTTAATTAATATGTGTCTAAATTATGATTATTAAAATAAATTTAATTCCAATGATCCAAACGGGGCATAATACTATTTACTATAAACTTAATCAAACTTGAGATAGATTGGCCGACACGGATCCCGTAATTATATTTTTTTTTGTAGGCGAAGAGAGTATTAACACTTATCGTAATGAAACGGCATGTCATGAGAACTCTACAATATTGTAAAACTCTCTCTCACACACACATTATATAACAATGGTCTCTC